CAAATCTCTGACTTTATAACTGTATTGTGACTTTATAACTCGAAATTCTGACTTTATAATTCTGTATTGCGACTTTATAACTCTGTATTCTGACTTTATAACTAGAAATTCTGACTTTATAATTCTGTATTGCGACTTTATAACTCTGTATTGCGACTTTATAACTAGAAATTCTGACTTTATAATTCTGTATTGCGACTTTATAACTCAAAATTATGACTTTATAACTTAAAATTATGACTTTAAAACTCTGTATTGCGACTTTATAACTCGAAATTCTGGCTTTATAACTCAAAATTCTGACTTTATAACTATTGTGACTTTACAACTCGGAATTCTGACTATATAACTTTGTAGTGTGACTCTATAACTCGAAATTCTGATCTTATAACTAAAAATTCTGACTTTATAAGTCTATATTACGACTTTATAACTTGAAATTCTGACTATAACTCGAAATTCTGACTTTATAACTCAAAATCTGACTTTATAACTCTGTATTGTGACTTTACAACTCGGAATTCTGACTTTATAACTTAAAATTCTGACTTTAAAACTCTGTATTGCGACTTTATAACTCGAAATTCTGGCTTTATAACTCAAAATTCTGACTTTATAACTATTGTGACTTTACAACTCGGAATTCTGACTATATAACTTTGTAGTGTGACTCTATAACTCGAAATTCTGATCTTATAACTAAAAATTCTGACTTTAAAAGTCTATATTACGACTTTATAACTTGAAATTCTGACTATAACTCGAAATTCTGACTTTATAACTCAAAATCTGACTTTATAACTCTGTATTGTGACTTTACAACTCGGAATTCTGACTTTATAACTTAAAATTCTGACTTTAAAACTCTGTATTGCGACTTTATAACTCGAAATTCTGGCTTTATAACTCAAAATTCTGACTTTATAACTATTGTGACTTTACAACTCGGAATTCTGACTATATAACTTTGTAGTGTGACTCTATAACTCGAAATTCTGATCTTATAACTAAAAATTCTGACTTTAAAAGTCTATATTACGACTTTATAACTTGAAATTCTGACTATAACTCGAAATTCTGACTTTATAACTCAAAATCTGACTTTATAACTCTGTATTGTGACTTTACAACTCGGAATTCTGACTTTATAACTGTATTGCGACATTATAACTAAATTGCAGTATTCTAACTTTATAACATGGAATTCTGACTTTATAACTCAGAATTCTGATTTTATAACTCGGAATTGCGACTTTAGAATTTTAATTTTATAATTTTTTTAATTTTACATTTTATTTGTTATTCAGTGACAGGAACGGGCTTCAATAATGATGTTTATTTTACAGACAGAATTTTATCCTGACTATAGAAATCAGTGGCTACCAGTTTACAATGATATTCAAAATAGATTTCATTTTGTGTATATATTTAAGGACATCAGATTATGAGAGAGACCAGGGCTTGTTGTCACACTTTTGATCTTTTTTGGAAAACAATACGACCACAACAAAGATGCACTGAATTGTTTAAGTTATATATCCACAATTATATAGCCACTCAGAGAATTGGAGTACTGATGCTGAACATTAAACAAATTAAAATACTTAATTTTAGCACTGTTTTATGGTTAGCACTGTTGCTTCAAAACAAGAAGGTCGCTGGTTCGAGCCCCAGCTGGGTCAGTTGGCATTTCTTTTTTTTATCAATATATTTTTTATTATTTTCACATCAATAATTTACAAAATCATTTCAGTATACATGTAAACATTCTTTTCTAACCACCCTCCACCCCTTTTCCACCCTCACAAGACAGAACACTTAAATAGACATACTTGTGAGACATCGAGCTGATGTGTAAATTAAGAGGAAATAAACAATAAACAAACAATAATGACAAATACAGGATTAAAGCAATGAAGTGTCACACTTTTCCATCCGTATTTTCTGTCAATGTAACATCCAAGTTATTCATGTATTCAATAAATTTACTCCAAGTCTTCTCAAACATCGATTTTTTTAAGATTAAACATTATTTTTTTAACAGGAACATAAGAAGAAAGTTCTCTAAGCCATACAATATGACTTGGTGGTTCTACTGATTTCCAATGTATAGCAATGCATTTCTTTGCTGCTATCAGAGCCATTTTAATTAAACGTAAATTTTTCCTTTGATCGAACAGAAGAACTAATTCATCTCCTAACAACATAAATCTTGGATCAGGTAAAGGGTTAACATTGGCAATTTTACTAATAGTTTGTATTATATTTCTCCAATAGGTTTTAAGTTTGGAACATGTCCAAAACATATGAAATAATGTACCAACCTCAATCTTACATCTAGAACAATATTCTGAATATGAATCACTTATTCTGTGCAATCGCTCGGGTGTATAATATACCCTGTGTAAAATATTAAACTGTATTAATGTATGTCTACTATTACACGAAAATGTTAAGGCACTTTTACAGATAAAAAAGAAAAGAAAACCACACTGCTCTCATCTGTGCTGCCCAGAAATAAAACAAAAAATCGGGAAGTTGTAGTCAACCTTTTTTGGATGTCATCTGTAATGTCCTAAGTTTAATCCTTGGAGTTTTTTTATTCCAAATAAAATTTCTAATTGAGCTGTTGAGATTCCTAAAAAACTTTTGTGGGATAGAAATAGGGAGGGTCTGAAACAAATATAAAAATTTAGGAAGAATATTCATTTTTATGCAGTTTATCCTGCCAATTAGTGATAATGGTAGTGGATTCCATCTTTCCAGATCTCTAATTACCTTTTTAAGTAATGGGGAATAATTCAAAGAATATGCTTCTTCCAATTTCGAAGGAATATTTAGTCCTAAATAAACCATTTTTTCAGTATTCCACAAAAAAGGAATGTTATCTAAGGGTATTTTCTCCCCAGCCAAATTCAATGGCATCATAACGCTTTTATTAAAAGTAATTTTATGGCCAGATATGTCCCTAAAGTTTTCCAAGAGTTGAGACAAATTAGATAGAGATAAATCAGGATTAGTTAGATATCGCATCACATCGTCCGCGTATAATGATATCTTGTGTATACAACCTCGTTTTTTTCAATCCAAAGATTGATTTACAGTATGTGTCCGTATTGTTATAGCTAGGGGTTTTACCGCTAGTGCGAAGAGTAGCGGGGAGAGGGAACATTCCTGTCTGGTTCCTATTGATAAATAAAAATGTTCAGATACATCAAAATTAGTACGGATGTCTGCCGATGGATTCCTATACAACATCTTAATCATCTCAATAAAGTTTGGACCGAAATTCATTTTTTGTAAAACCGCAATCACATAAGGCCATTCCACTCGGTTGAAGGCTTTTTCTGCATCTGAAAGAGCAATCACCGGAAAATCTATTTGTTTTGCTGAATAAATAATATTAATTTACCTCTGTATGTTATCGAAAGAGGATCTATTTCTGATAAATCCAGTTTGATCCATGTAAATTAAACTAGGCAGTACTCGCTCTAAACGTAATGCAATCATTTTGGTAAGAATTTTATAATCAGAATTAAGCAGTGAGATTGGCCGATAGGAAGCACATAGATTAGGATCTTTGCCAGGATTTAAAAGAACTGTGATTAAAGCCTGGTTTAAAGTCTCTGGTAATTCTTTTTTATGAATTGCCTCTGTATACATTGAAAACAACGGGTCTGCTAATTTAGAAAAAAAAGTTTTATAAAAATCCATCGAAAACCCATCTAACCCAGGTGTTTTACCCCCGGCTAGAGCAGCGACTGCAAATTGCATCTCTTTTTTCGAAATTTCATTTTCGAGTTCTTCTTGATCATTATCACTTAAGACTGGTATATCCCATTTACTTAAAAACATTTTAATCTTCGCCTCCTCTATTCCCTGAGATTTATAAAGTGACTTATAAAAATCTAAGAATTCTTGGTTAATTAATTTGGGGTGTTTAATAATTTTGTTTTCGGATGAATATATTTTAGGTATAGATTTACTAATTTCTTCTTTTCTTATTTGCCATGCTAGCACTTTCCAATCTTATCTCCATGTTCGTAATACTTCTGTCGTGATCTGAGAAGTGCATTTTCTGCTTCTTTGGATGATAGAATATTATATTTAAATTTTTTTTACTGCAATTGTTAAAACAGCTGAGCATCTTTATTCTTAAAACGTTCCCTTTCCATTACTAAGATTTCTTTTTCAAGTGATTGTAACTGTTTTTGATATTGTTTTTTTTTTTTTACCGAAAGAAAAAGCTATGATTTGACCCCATAAGAATGCCTTCATGGCCTCCCAGATTACACCCGAAGAAGCAGGACAGTTGGCATTTCTGTATGGAGTTTGCATGTTCTCCTCCTGTTTGTGTGGGTTTCCTCTGGGTGCTGTGGTTTCCCCTACAGTCTGAAGACATGCTCTATAAGTAAATTGAATAAATTAAATTGGCCGTAGTGTATGAGTGTGCGTGTGAATATAAGAGTGTATGGGTGTTTTCCAGTACTGGGTTGCAGCTGGAAGGGCATCCGCTGTGTAAAACATGTGCTGGATAAGTTGGCGATTCATTTCGCTTTGGCAACCCCTGATAAATAAAGGGACAAAGCCGTAGGAAATTTAATGAATGAATCTTATAATTCTGACTTTTTAAACATGTAAATATGAGTTTCATCTTGCTGTTCTGTGTTATTATCTGGCAACACTGACTTTTCTTATCAATTTTTAGTTCATGTCACACAATTCAGATTTTTAAAATCTTTTTTAAATCTATATTTCATAATGCTTCCTTTTTTTCACAAATCTGACAATTTTTTTTAGAATTCTGAGTTTATTTTATAACTTTTGTGTAATTCTAACATTTTCTGCATAATTCTTCCCCTACTTGTTATTTTATTTAATATCTCAAAATACTGTCTTTATCTGTCAATTTTTTGTGTTTTGCGTTTTTCAAATTTTCTACTTTTTTTCCTCACAATTCTCACATTCTTATCTCAAAATATTTTTACAAAGTTTAAAAAAATTATTATTATTTTTATATGAATTTATCTCACACTTCAGATATTATCTTGCATTTTTTTAGTTTACATCCCACAGTTCTTCTTTAATCATGCTATTATTATATTTTTTATCTCACATTACATTTCATGTATTTATTTTGCAATTCAAAATATTTTTTGCAGTTTCGAGATACAAGCTGACAATTGTGGGAAAAAGATTGAAATAAAAATTTCTTACAAATTTTAATTGCACAGTTATGAGTTCATTCATTCCTTTTTCTTCGGCCTAGTCCTTTAGTTATCATGGGTCGCCACAGTGGAATGAATCGCCAACTATTCTGGCATTTGTTTTACGCAAGAGATGCCCTTCCAGCCACAATCCAGTACTGGGAAAATTATGAGCTGGTTAATTAAAAAATATAGATTTTACTTTGTGCTATAAACAAGTAGGGGATGTTTTATTTTATATATATAATTAAGTGAAACAAATACATGCTTCAAGTGACAAATATTGTAAAAGGCTTTCCATATTTTCTTTTAAACTTTTGCAGAGTATAGATTTTTATTTCATATTTTGCGATATGAGTGACTCTAACAAGCTATTGATTTAATTATTTCTATGTTCTTCATTTTCTTTCTAATGTATGTTGTTTATAAAGCCTATAATGAAATCCAGAACCTGTTTATGAATTTCATAACAATAACTAAGTCCTATATTTCTTTGCTAAACTCTAGAGAGGTGCGCTATCACAGTTCTAAAAGCGATCATTTTGCTTTGCTTGGCTAAAACAGCCACATGACGCTGGCAGGCATCCAGTGAGATATTCCACAGAGGCGTATCTTCTTCACAAGGCCTTGCTTCTGTTGCTTGTGTTTGTAAAGCATATTTGACAAGCCGGTAATGATGCCAGACACATACAAACTACAAAGCTTGTCTTGCTGATGTCATCGCAACAATGCCCAGATGCATTTCTTGTGTTAGCAAGAGCTTTGGCTCTGTCTGCAAACACTTCTTGTTGTTTGAAAGCAGCAGAGCGCTCGAGTTTGTCGGATTTCAGACTCGCATGAGACAGGAGGAAAACAGTGAGCGGTGCTGTCAAAGAGGTTCTTTTAATTCACGAAATTATCTTTTTATTGAAGTCATGGTAACACTTTGCAATTACAGTAGATGAATATTGATGTATTAATATGTAAACTAAACATCAATGTAAACTAACAACTAATGATGAGTTAATGTATATGCTAATCATGCTACAACATGAACCACATAAGTTGATGTGTGAATAACCGCTACCTTAATTGCTTGTTAGTACATGATTGTTTGTTAAAGCATTAATTACCACATTAGTTATGCTTAATTTAACCATCATGAACTCATGATATGTTAATGTATTATTCTACCATGACTTTACTTGGAGGGGCACATCATCATTAACCCATTCTTAACTACTCATCAACTCCTTATGGACGTCTGTGTAGCGTGTTTACACTAAATCACTTGATTCTGTTTCTGAATTCGAAAAGACAACAAAATCTGTTTAATCTTTGTTTAATGGGCAGTTTATGATTGGTTGATCAATCCATTTAACAATATGACCTTTAAAAAGTCTACAGAAAGTGAGGTGTAATTTCACCGAACAACAGTTTGTTCATCAAATTAGCACAAGATTGCATCTATGTTATTATGAATTACATATACAGCATTCAGTGTGCTGCTTTCTTGCTGTATTGGAAGATTATTATTATACAATTACATGTTGCAACCTCACCCACGCTATTCCTTCACTTGAGTTGCCCAGGGTGATGATTTGTTTTAAAACAACCTTGCAAAGAGAGCACCAAGCAGTGGTGTCTTGAGAATGCCTTTGCTGCCCTTTCTGGGTCCTTAAAGGCACTGTAGCATGTAATTGTGGCAGCAGCGAAAGAGAATTGGAGGGTAGAACGTATTTGGGTTTTCAACAGTATATAGATGCTTCTTAACAATGGCTATTTTTGTGTTCAATAACAATCCAGGGTTCATCCTGACACATTTGTAAGCAAGGCTAGAAATTTTATTTAATTTAAAAATATATATTTAATGCATTTTTGTATATATAGTTGAAATTAGTATAATTAGTCTAAATTAGTATCCCTTCTGAATAATTAGCCCCCCTGTTTATTCCCCCCCCCCCCCCCCCCCCAATTTCTGTTTAATGGAAAGAAGTTTTTTTTCGACACATTTTTTAAACAAAATAGTTTTAATAACTCATTTTTTTAATAACTGATTTATTTTATCTTTGCCATAATGATATAATCACTAGATATTTTTCAAGACACTTCTATACAGCTTAACTACAGTAGGTTAATTTGGTTATCTGGCAGGTTAGGGTAATTAGGCAAGTTATATAATAATGATTGTTTGTTCTGTAGACTATCGAAAAAAATATAGCTTAAAGGAGCTAATAATTTCTACCTTAAAATGGCCTTTAAAAATTAAAAACTGCTATTATTTTTGGCGAAATAAAACAAATAAGACTTTCTCCAGACGAAAAAAAATATTATCAGAAATACTGTGAATATTTCCTGCTCTGTTAAACATCATTTGGGAAATATTTAAAAAAGAAAAGAAAATGCAAAGGGGGGCTAATGATTCTAACTTCAACTGTAAACTAAAAAAAAAAAATTCTGGTTGCCTTAAATTTTTAAGCTGAATCAAATTAACCTTATGAGTGCTTTGAGCTTATATTATGTTAAACTGACTTAAGACAGCTTTTGTAATTTATAAAATGAAGTTAGAACATTAACTTAGTTTAATAAGTTCAGATTACCTCAAACATGATGTCAGAACTAATTGATTATATTATATAATTCTATAATTCAACATTGTAATAATGAACATGCACGTTATTAATATTGTAGGCACTTCATAACAATGTAAATAATAATTCCTTGTTTTAATTTTATATTTTTTATAATATTTTTATTTTAAAACTTTTAGAGTGCCTTTTAGAAATATTTACTTTGTTGTATTAGTGTTTGCTCATCATAGCACCAGATGCTTGAAGACTTAATGGAATAATTTTTTTTGAACATTTGCACATATTAATCTGACCTTCTGGGCGATTCAGTGGGGCAGTAGATAGTGCTGTCGCCTCACAGCAAGAGGGTCGCAGATTCGAGCCTCGGCTCAGTTGGCGTTTCTGTGTGGAGTTTGCATGTTCTCCCTGCGTTTGCGTGGGTTCCTCCGGGTGCTCCGGTTTCCCCCACAGTCCAAACACATGCGGTACAGGTGAATTGGGTGGGCTAAATTGTCCGTAGTGTATGAGTGTGTGTGTGTGGATGTTTTCCAGAGATGGGTTGCAGCTGGAAGAGCCTCCGTGCTGGATAAGTAGGTGGTTCATTCCGCTGTGGTGACCCCCAATTAATAAAGGGACTAAGCCGACAAGAAAATGAATGAATGAATCTGACCTTCAACATTGACAATCTGACTATTTTTAGACTGTCTGTTCATTAGCTCTTTACAGTGAGGCTCCATTTACTAACATCAGTTAATTTAACTAAGGTCAATGTATAATGACAACTTCAAAAGTATTTATTATTCCTATTTGATGTTTATTTAGTAATTATTGCCTAATAAAATCAAGAATCTTTTTATTAAATTGAGTTAATAACTAATACAATTCAATTGTGTTTTATTCCATTAACTAACGTTTACTAATAATGTGTGTTGATTGTTACCTATATTCTAATTTATTTTTCTTTTGCAATTGAATTTGTTTAAAATGTTTGGTTTAAAGAAATATAAGTAAATTTGCATTTCTTTGCATCTTGTTATTCATGTTTTTATTTTTCCTCATTTTTTTATGGGACCTTGATCTTTCTTCCAACAACATTTAACCTAGTTTAAAGTGATATTGTCTGGGTAGTTGTTGTAAATTCTGGTACAAAAACCTTGTAATAGCCTTTAGTACATTTCCTGTTATTTTATAGACTTATTTGTTTATATATCATTTCTTATACACAAAAAGCTGGGTTCCACACAATTCCTTCATCCCAACACAAATCGAATAAGTTTACTTAATTGTTTTTACAAATGTAGGTAGATTGAACATAAAGCAATTAAGTTAAAAAAAACTGTTCTTAAGTTTTTAAGTTTTTCAAAAAACTGAAGAATTGTGTTGATTCAGCTTATTTTAAATAAGTTGTTCAAACAATTGTACATTACATTATTTCAAACTACTAAAATGTCAATAAAAGTCACTTTGTTAAACTATACACTGTAAAACCCAAAAAGTTAAGGTAACTCAAACCATTTGAGGAAACCGATTGCAACAAACCATTTAAGTTCAAAAACTAATTCTAATGAGTACTATCAACTTACTCCATTTGAGTAAATGAAGCGATTTGAGCACAGTAAAACCCAATAAATGAAGAGAACTCAAACCAACTAAGTACTGTAAAACCCAATAAGTTAACTCAAACCGTTTGAGAAAACTGATTGCTACAAACCATTTACAACATATTTATAAGAGTACTGTGAACTTACTCCATTTAATTTGAAGTAATTAATTATTTAATAAACTTAATATCTTCAACAATGAGTTTAAAACTCTTTTCATTCATTCATTCATTCATTTTCTTTTAGGCTTAATCCCTTTATTAATCTAGGGTCACCACAGTGGAATGAATCGCCAACTTATCCAGCATAGGTCTTATGCAGCGGATGCCCTTCCCAACAGACCACAGAGGATGATGGGTACGCCTTGGCTGATGGGAATTGTATTTTCCGCTACCTCCCGTTCGCTTCATTCGCCTGAGCAATTTTTTTTTTTAGAAGACCTATAGTTTTATTGAGTCATGCGACTACGGTAATATCGGAAAAAATTGCTATTGCATTATGACGTTACTTACAATACCGTTACATCCCTAATAAATAAATATATATATATATATATATATATATATATATATATATATATATATATATATATATATATATATATATATATATATATATCATCACCTTAGAATTATGAACATAATGGGATGTTTTTTGTAG